GTGCTGTTCATGGTTTGTGTGGTTGCATTCTTCAAAAAAACTCTTTTTAAGAGCCTTCCACACACTGGCCACTTCACCAGTACTGGCTAGGTGATGAAACGCACTGGATGTGGTGACATACACTTGTAATCCCAGCAGTCAGGAGGTGGAGACAGGAGGGTCAGAAGTTCAAAGTCATGCCCAGCTACATAGGAAATTTGAGGCCAACCTTAGATCCTTGAGACCCTGTACAAGGCCACAGAGCTGGCAGGGGACAGAACTGAGATTTGATCCCAGGCAGTGTGGCCACAGAGGCGGAGCTGCACAGAGAAAGAGGCTTTCTCTGAGAGTGTGCTGCTGCCCAGTGTGCCCAGTGTGCCCAGTGCCTCCTTCTTAGTCTTTGCTTTGTTGGAGCAAACCTGCCTCCGGCTTCTGCCTTCCCTGCAGGTTCTGGACTCTCTTGCCCAGTCCTGAGCAAGTGTAGGAGAAAAGAAGCCGCCTCCCCTTCCCAGCTACCACAGGGAGCGCCCTCTGTCCGACCCCGTGGGCATTTGCCTCTCCCTGTGTGACCACCCAAGAATAGACTCCACTCACTTCTTCCAGCCTTTCTGCTACCTGTCAAGAAAACTCTTCTCCATTTTAAGGCCCTTGCAGCCTTCCTGTAGTGCCTCCCTCCCTCCCTTCCTCCCTCCCTCCTCTCCTTTTGTGGCTTTATTGAGTTATAATTGGCAAATAAAAATTTTATATGTTGAAGGCATATAATGTAATATTTTGATGTCTGAATATGGTATGAAATGATTGTTGTAATCAAACTAATTAACCTATTTATCGCCTTAGGTAGTAATCTTTTTATTAGTGGTATGGATATTTAAGATTTACTCTTAGCAAATTACAAGTATACAATGTCATGTTATTAATTTAGTCACTATTTCAGTCTTTCTAACCAAATTCCCTCGACCACTAAGCCTGTGTCTATTTTTATTGGACAGTTTGATCTGAGATCGGAAAGGACAGTATACTGGTACTGGTTAGATGAAGAAGGGAGAAACACCACAGATAGAGGGAGCAGCATGGGCAAAGGTCCTGAGGTAGGTGGGAACATCGATGGCAGAAGGCTAGAGTGCTGAATGAGATAAGTACCAGTCAGGCATCAGCTGCCTCTTTCACAGCAGCGAAATGACCAATCAAACTCTTCCTTTTGCAAAGGAGAGGGAAATCGTCAGGATGCTTGTTGTGGATATCGCTCTATATAAATAAAACACTGATGGCCAGTGACCAGACAGGAAGTATAGGCAGGACAAGGAGAGTGGAGAATTGGGGAAACAGGAAGAAGGAGGGAGAGACAATGCAGCCACCGCCAGGACAAGCAGCATGTAAAGACGCCGGTAAGCCACAAGCCACGTGGCAAGGTATAGATTTATAGAAATGGGTTAATTTAAGATATAAGGACAGTTAACAAGAAGCCTGCTACGGCCATACAGTTTGTAAGTAATATAAGCGTCTGAGTGATTATTTTATACGTGGATTGTGGGACTGCGGGGCTTGGTGGAACCTGGAGAGAAGCCCTCCAGCAACAGATGCTCTCCACCATGACGCCTCCCCTCAGCTCACTTTGACCTAGGCTGCATGCCTGCCACTGCCCAGACCAATAGGCAGGGATTACCGGTGTAATCCAGACCAACAACAATTCACCCCTGGGCTGGGGCAGAGCCTGGCTTCAGGGAGCTGTGATAGGTACTTTCTCAGCAGGAAGAGGGAATTGTGGGTAGGCTGCAGTGTTGCTACCAAATGACTGTGCCTCTCCTACCTATTAACATGATTATGAGACCCGAGGGATTTGGGGAGCAAATTGGTAGGCTAGAATTCACCACTTGACTCTCTCAGAAGAGATCGTGAAGCCCCACTGCCAGCCTTGCTCAGGATAACAGCCAGCCTTGCTGCTGGTCCCTCATTCACACTGCCATCATCACAGTAGCAACACCAACCTCAGAACTGGTCTCTCAGACTCCCTGTAAAGTAGCAAGAGGTCAGCAAGGAAGGCTGTGGAGCATCCCACCCTGCCCACAAAGTCCAGTGTTGCGGGATGTTTGAACAAGTTGTAAAGATGCGTCACTGGTCTACCTTGCCTGCCTAAAGCACCTGATTGGCTTAATAAAGGGCTGAATGGCCAACAGCTAGGCAGGAGAGGATAGGCGGCATTTCAGGGGAGAGAGAGGAACAGGAGGAATCTGAGGTGCATGGAGAGACACGAGGGAGTCAGACATACAGAATGGAGGTGAGGTTGAAAAAAAACAACCACATGGCAGAATGTAGATGAACAGAAGAGGGTTCATTTAAGTTATAGGAGCTAGTTGGGAACAAGTCTAAGCTAAAGGCCAAGCTTTCATAATTAATAATAAGTCTCTGTGTCATTGTTTGGGGGCCGGAGATGCCAAAGAAAGTCTGACAAGAAAGACTCGTTATAATCCAGAATTGTTTAGTGCTGCAGGAAAATGGCGGAAGCAGCCAGAGAGATCTTTCTGGAAGCTTGTCTGTGGAGGTGGAGAAAGAAGGGCATTTTAACTGAGCAAGGCCGTGGTGGCCTCTCACTTATAGACCCACGGTCACCTTTGCTCCGTGGGTCTTGTGTGATGCTCTACCTCTCACAGATGTGGCAAGCTTTCAAAGAATTTAAATGCCAAGACGCCTGCACACAGGGCCCTGGGCTGCAGCCAGCACGAATGTTTGCCACACAGCCCACACAGCATCTTACAATCTGAGTTTCCTTTAAAGCCCAGGAGACTGAATATAAAATTCCAGATTTCTTGCAAGGAAGTTCTAGCAATTTAGGCTTGCCACAGTTTGGAGACGGTTACCCCACAAGTCCCCAGTGGGAAGATTTGGACAAAGGGGTGACTTCTTTAAGAGGAGGGACCTAGTGGGAGGGACTGGTCATGATCAACGTTGTGGGGGGACTAATGCTGGTCTCGGGAGTGGATTAGCTCCCACAAGAGTGCTCTGTTTTTTACAGTCTGGCTGTTCCCAGAGTCTTGCTTCTTCCCTCACAGAGGGCCACTCTTTGGCACACACCCACGACACCAGGTAACACGGGACACACCAGGAGCACCCTGGACAGATGTCACGCTGTTTAAATCTTCCAACTGTCAGAACAAGGAGCCTATGACCCTGTTATCTTTATATATTGTCCAGAATTAGGTGTTTTGATATAGCAACACAAGACGGACTAGACAAGCACATGCTCAAATGATAGAAGATGACAGGAGTTGGGTAGCTGGCCCTCCAGTCCAGTTCACTGTGGTCCCCACTCAGTCCACATGGATGTAACGGGTGGTCCATGCTGGTGTTCTCATTAGGACTTCATGCCTGTGCCTCCCACGATGGCAGCAGGAGGGAGGGAGCAGAGATGCCCTGGGGAGGTGAGGGCAGCCCCCACAGGTCAGCTCTCTCCTAGCGGGCACGGAGCTGTCCCAGCAGCCCTCCCAGCCAAATCCCCAGGTCTGGGTAGCAGATGGGATAAGTCTGTACAAAGTCACACTGCTCTTCCTCTGGGAGCTAGGTCATGTATGCCACATGCGTTATCTCATCCTGTGTTACCAGGGAAATCGGGGTCTCTGCTTGGGGTTCTTAGTGTGGTTAATAAAATAATTTAAAGGCTGGAGCAATGGCTCGGTGGTTAAGAGCTTTGTCTGTCCTTCTATAGGACCCAGGTTCAATTCCCAGCACTAGCATGGAAGTTCCTAACTCCAGTCCCAGGGAATGCAACACCCTCTTTGACTTCCACTGGCACCTGGCATGCACATGGTGCAAACATACATGCAAGCAAAACACCCATACATAAAATTATATATATAATTATATATGTATAATTATATATATATGCTATTTTTTTATTTTTATATATTTTCTTCTAAAGAAAAGCTGGCAGACTCACGAAGGTGCTTGGCTGTGGCCCTGTAAGAGACTGTGCCAGGAGGCAGGAATTCTGGGAAGGAAAGATATATTATTTAATTGAAGGGATAATTATTCCTCCTAGTTCTTCAGCATGGTGTAAGGTGGATCTGCTTCCTGAGGGTGGTCCTTGGAGACTGACCTGCCCAAAGGAATGTTAGGTCTTCGTCCAGGCTGGAGATTCCATTTTCTTGATCTGAAGAAAATGCTTTTACCTTAATGGTTCTTTTCTGCCACTGTGACCCTGTCACCCACTGCCCTCTGGAAGAGGGAAGAGTGTCATCCTACTCTACAGATTAGACAAACAAGGTTCCGAGATGTCCAGACATTACAGTCACAGCCGAGACGTGGCCAGGAAACTGAGGCTTCGGCAGCGTGGTGATCAAGGAAACAGCTGGCAAGGCTGACATTCTGCTATGGTGCGGATCCTCAGCCACCCCAGAGGTCATCTGTAAGTCGTAGGCTTGGTTACCATGGAGACAGAACCCCCAGGCAGCAGTGCAGGGGTGCCTAATGAGAAGTCCTTAGTCATCAGGGTGAGCCCCCCTTTTCATGGGCTCTCTAGCTATGAGGTCAGTGATTGTGATTTTGCTTCATAATCCAGCCAAGATGCGCTGCCTCAACACAGGCCCACAGCAGGGCCATTAGTCATGGACTGAACTCAACAATGGTTAGAAAAACATGCCCTTTCTGGAGTCTTGCTCTATAGCCCGGTGTAGCCCGAATTCTAATTAGTCTTAATAGTAAAAACCCAGTGTCAGGTATCAGGGTGGAAGCTGGAAGATCAGAGAAGCAGAGCAGCCAGCCACTGGAAAGACATCTTACCTCTAGGAATCCTCAGACTGAAAGGGCCGAGCTCCTGTCTCCACCCTGCCTTATCACTTCCTCTCTCTGGCCAGCCATATCACTTCCTGTTTCTTCCTCTCAAGTACTGGGATTAAAGGTGTGTGCCTCCACTGCCCGGCCTCTAGTGGCTAGCTCACACTGTCATCTCCAGGCAGGCTTTATTTGTTAGAGCACAAACAAGTATCACCATAGCCCAGGCTATCCTCCAGTTTTCTCTCTTCCGGCCTCCTCCAGAGTGCAAGGATCCTAGGCAGAGCTATCCCGCCTGGCCAACCATTTCTCTTTACAAGTTGATGAACTCAGGTAGTGTGCGACACAGCGACAGAAAGCTGTCTAGACAGACTGCAACTTGGCCTCAGCTCACTTCAAAGAGTGACAAACAGTTTTGACCGCTGGTATTTTTTTAAGATTTGGAATTTGGGGGGCCTTTTACAGGGCTCTCCAGTCCCGTGTTTACCACTGTTATGCCCAGATCTTGGGGACCCCCAAAAGACCACATGGAGACTGAATCTTGCATGTAAAAGCAAAGAGCCTTTATTTTCAAGCTCCAGGGCTTGGTCTGTCTGTCCCCTGCATCGGTGGGAGCAGAGAGCCCTGAGCCCAAGCAGGGTCGAGTTTTTTGTTTTGTTTTTAAATCATAGCAGAGGTTGGGGTGAGGGGATTTCTAGGGTTCAGGATCCTGATTGGCTGATAATTGTCTAGGTATCTTTAAAACAAAAATAGGTATGTGCTAAACTCAGGGACATCTGGCCACCTTATCGAATGGTTGGAATGTTTGGGATGTTAGGTACTTCCCCCTCCCTGGGTGGTGTCTGCTTATAGCTTTTCCTGGATCTGGGTGCTGCCTGCCAGGAAGCCTGTCACAGAAGCTGTGTCTGGGCCCCTAGGCCTGTCATGGCTGCTGTGTGGTCAAGCTGTTTTGGGGCCCCTCCACACCACCCAGATGACAATGCATGAGGATGATTTGGTTAGAGCTTGCTATGGCGAGGGAGTTGGCCACCATTGCTAATACAGTAACTGGTAGAGACTGGAAGGGAGGAGGCCTGCTGGGAAGAGAAGGCAGGCTTCAGGGCTGCGCCCTTGGACAGATGGCCCAGGGGGTGCCGGCAGCAGGCTAACTAGGGGTACGCAGGCTAGGAGGGGGTGGGTTCTGGCTTGGAAGTGTCTGTCCACGGAGGAGGTAGCGTGAGGGAGGAGACCGAGTCCTGACTGTCCTATTCCAACACTGCGGAGGTGGTTGGCTTTTGGTCCCGGTGGCTGTCAAGGCTGTAGGTCAGAATTCTATGGCCATTGATGATTTGGCCATTGTCTGTGTGTTCATGGAGAGTCTCAGTGTGCAGAGAGGGAGCCTGCTCTGTGCTGTGAGCTGTTTTATGCTCACCTCTCTGTACTGGGGAGCCCTCACTGGTGACAAGAGGGTGCTACCAGAATTTGTCTGGAACATGAATGTACATCGGTGTTTAGACCAGTGCCTGGCACACGCTAAGCCCGCAACAGACTTTAATAATCAATCATTACCATTTGTGTGTGTGTGTTCACGTGTGTACACACGCATAGATGTGTGTACACATGGAGGCTAGGAGTCAACCTTAGGTGCCATCCAATAGTTTGTTTAGAGAGGTTCTCTCGCTAGGGCCTGGGTTCACCAATGAAGCTAGGCTGGCTGGCCATCGAGCCCCAGGGATTAGGCTGAGCCGGCTGGCCAAGGCTTCACCTGTCTCTGCCTCTCCAGCGCTGGGATTACAGGTATGTGCCACCATGTCTGTTTTCCCCCCGTGGGTTCCGGTGATGGACCTCAGGTCCTTGCTCAGGCATGGGCTAGCAGCTCCCGACAGGACCAGCTCCCCAGCTTCATAGTTTTTTTTGTTGCTCTTGTTCTGTGTAAGAGCAGCTGAAGAAAGGCTTTTACTGGGGGTAAAGAAACACCCACAGCAGCCACACCGGACTCTGTTACTTTCCTCTACACAAGCCTCTCTGCGCCTCAGTGTCCTCATCTGTAAAATGGGGTGGGGAGTCGGTGGCGGCTCCCACCCCACACAGTAGAAATGGCTGCGGAGAGTCGGTGGCGGCTCCCACCCCACACAGTAGAAATGGCTGCGGAGATGAATGACAGCTGGGCAGCTCCCGGTGCCATGCCCACCCTCAGTAAAGCGCACAGCCAGCGGCAGCTGGTACCAATGGCAACTTCAGCTCTGGCCACCCACTTCCCAGAGCAGGTATATGGAGGAGCCTCGTCCTAAGAGATTCCAGGCTCAGGAAGGCTGCCTGCTGTAGCTGGGTCCCTGCAGACTTGGCTTTTAGATTCCCACTGGGCCTTGTGTCCCTCACTCAGTCCACACACATCCTCTATGTCTTGCTATTTTTTTTATTTTTATTATTAAATCACATACAACTCAGGGCATCAGGCCCCACCAACTTCATTAGAACCTGGGAAACAGGAATCAAAGACTGGACACAGTCTCCCCGTCTTTTTATGACAGGAACAAAAACATCAGACATTACCCCAAGGAAACGAGGGTACAAAAGGCAAGAGAAGGGACCAGGAGAATGACGCCACCCTGAGGTCATGAGGGGGTGGGGCTGGGCTTATGGTCTGAGCGCCTCTGTCCCCGGATTCAGGTTAGAGTCTTTATGTTGAAGGCTTTGGAGGTGATCAGGTCATGGGGTAGAACTCTCATGAATGGGGCTAGAGCTCCTATCTAAGAGGCCCGGGGGAGCTTGTCTGTCTGTACTTTTCCCACATGAGTGTGTGGACAGAGTGTTTCTCTGAAACACCGGGTCTATGAGTGCCTTGATCTGAGCTTTGCTGTCCTCAGCACAGTTACAAACCAACTTCTGTTCTTAGCCACCTGGTCTAGGCTATTTTGTGATGGGAGCCAGATGGGCTAATTCTGAGAATCAGTGGGCTCCTTTAGTCCCAGTCTCAGAGAACATAAAATGTCTCTTACTGTCATGAGCGACTCGGGGGTCCAAGCACATGGGAACAGAGGCTATGAGTGGACCCCACTACCTACCTGCAGATGGAGGTGTTGGGGGAGGCCGATGATGGAGAAGAGAGTACAGAAACGGATTACAGCTAGGTAGCTGGGCCAAGTGCTGGAGAAAGGGATGGTGGCCCCTCTGGGCCAAGAGAACCCAGGCAGTAAAGCCGGGGTTAGGGGCTGTGGAGGGGTTCGTCACCCTACTTAACCTGTAAAAGGTGTGTGGCTCCCCCTGTTCTAAAGCTGCAGTATGGAGTGCAGAGGTGAATGTTTTTTCATCAGCCATGCCTGGCTGCAGCGCCCATGAATGGGTCTGCCATACCCATCCACAGAGAAGAGGGCAGAATGGCCATTTCCTCCCTTGGCCAAGCTCCCACCTCCCGCCAAAGGCAGGCTGGGGTGTTCCTGATGTTAATAGCACCTGACTGCTCTACCTGCCCTGGGTCCCAGAGTCACCCAACTCCCTTCAACCAGCCATAGCGGAGTCATATCCCCTCTCCCTTGTGCGGAGGGCAAGACATTACTTTATCAATTCGGCCTCTGAAGGCTGCGGCTGGTCCCAACCCCAGAGGCGACATGGAGGTAGACAGGGCCCCCAGAGGAGGCCGGAAGGGGTGCCCACTCCCAGTAGAGTTTTCCCAAAACAGGCTGGGTGGACAGGAGATTCGGCAGCTTTCTGACATTCCCAGGAAAGACCCCGGCTCCTCTTAGATTATATTCCAAGGAGGATGTAAACCATGTTGCTCAGGGCCGCACCAGCTGGCTCCATGGGAAGCCTCCGGTGCTGTGAAGGCCCTACCTGGGCTCAGCCCCCCGGGTCTCTGAAGGAGCTCACACCCCGACGGCACTCTTCTCGCCCTCTTTGGGGCTGGGGTCCTCCTGGGTCTTCTGCATCTCCCAGCCCCTGACCCAGGTGTAGGCGGAGGAGCCGCCCAGCACCATCAGGTTGCTGGTCCACCACAGGAAGCTCTTAGTCTCCTCATAGTAGAGCACAGCCAGTATCGTCTGCGCGCAGGCCTTGGCTGTGCCTGACACGTTGTGGGTCAGGGGGCTGGTGAACTTGATCTGCAGCCCCGTCACGTAGCCGATGGCAAAGCCGAACAGGCCGCCCAGCGTCATCATGACCCAGAAGTGGGCACTGTCCAGGTGAGCAAAGTCAAGGAGGGCACGGAGCTCGCCCAGGAGTACCATCAGGGGCAAGAAGAGCACGCAGGCATTGACGTTGTTATAGAAGGTTAGGCGCCAGATACTGTTGTCCACCGCCGGCAGCACCTTCTTGGTATAGATGGCGTTGAGGGAAACGCAGAGGCTGGCCAGCACCCCGAAGACGGTGCCCACCAGGGACAGGGTGCCCTCAGCTCCCTCTTGGTCTATACCCAGCCAGAAGCCACCTGTAGCAGAGACAGAAGAGTGGCAAGGTGAAGAGGGATGAGAACCGGAGGGGGAGGGACGAGATTCTGACACCGCGGTTCAGACTGTTCTGGGGCCCTTATCACCAGCACATCCAGCGTTTAATCTCCCACACAAAACAAGGGCTGAGGGAGTAGAGGCCAGAATGGAAGCCTGGCCCTCCCCTGCCCCTCCCCCAGCCACAGTCTGGCAGAGGGGGAAGGTGTAAGGGCAGTGTGGCCCAGTGACCTCTCTAATTACAATTGTAGTCACTGTAATGCGGGCTAGGACATGGCCTGCAGGGGGACGTTCTACAGGAGGAGGGCCAGTTGGTGGCTAAAGTGACCCTGGGCAAGCGACAGGACTCTTGGCTTCGGCTCCCTCAGGGTGAGCATGAGGTCAGAGCTGCTCCTGGCCTATGTTGCTTGCACAGTCCCTTGGGGACTCCGTTCAAAGAGCCTGCATGGCTCCCCAGGCCACAGCACTGGGCTTCCCACGTCTGGCCAGCACTTCCTCTGTGACTCGATGGCCTCAAGCCACCTTCTCAGCTCCCCACTTCTCACTACAGAGCGCTGTGTGTCTGCAGCCAAAACGCTAGTCTTTCCAGGGATTCTATCATTCTTCAAGGCTAAAGCTGGCCCCTCAGGGGAATCCCTTCTAGACCCACCAAGTACCCAGGCCTCTTCCCAGTTTCCTGCTTCCTGCCCTTTAACACAATGCTCTTTGCCTGGTCCTGGCCGGTAGGTGCCTGCTCCTGGCCGGTAGGTGCCTGCCCCTGCCTGGTAGGTGCCTGCCCCTGGCTGGTAGGTGCCTGCCTGCCCCTGGCCAGTAGGTGCCTGCCCCTGGCCGGTAGGTGCCTGCCCATGGCCACACTCTGGTCTCTTTATTTAGATCCTGCATTCTCACAAGGCAGAGGCTTACTGCTTCCATAAGGATGAGCAACACAGAATAGCAGGATCAGCACAGGCATCAGAGAGATCTGGACTCTGACTGCTCTGTGATTTCGAAGCTGAGCTACCTGGGAGAAGTTACTTAACCTCTCTGAGTTCCAATTTCCTTCATCTATAAAAATTGGGGCCATGTTCTTGCTCCCATGTCAACCAATCTACTCTTTGTCTTGTAACTAAAATGATCTTCCTCGGTGGCTCCCCATTGTCCCCAGGAAAGACCGCTCAGTCTACTGTGTGTGTCCAGTCTGTACTACTTGGGCAGCCTCATGTCAGCAAGGACTTCTCGGTAAGTCTGCTTGGATTGCTCCCCCTGCTCCCTACTCCCTCTAGAACCCCCACAGCCCTTATCAGAGATAGGCCCTCCCTCACAGACGGCAGGGAGGGGAGATGAAACAGACGGGGCCAGTTCTGGGGACAACAGGTTCCGCTTGTCCGTGCCACGCAGGCAGGCTGCCATGGCTCTCAGCCGCCTCACTATCAGCTTCTGGTTACTCTGGTTACTTCCTGCATGTAAATCCCCCACTAGGAGGCCCGTCCCCTCCAACCCTGGCAGGGCTGGTAAACTGAAGGAGGATCCCAGGGTACCCCGTAGGACAAAGCAGAAGTAAGGAGCACCAGTTCTCTTAGGGATGCATGTGGGGGGGCAGGTGGGCGTCCCCCAGTGCTGACAGCTTTTCACCTGCCCTCTCTGGCCCAGACCCCTTACTGCTGGATTCAGGAGCTGCTCAATCAGCGGAACATTTCTAGGGCAGATGTATGCTTCGGCCTGTCCCCACATCCAGAGCTCCCAGCCTGGGCCCTTGAGACACCAGAGAAGACTAAGTAGGCCAAACAAGACAGACTAACGAACCTGGGCAGGTACAAATGAAGGTCACATTTCCGCCTGAGGGAACAGATGCCCTGGTCTCTGTAACCCAGCAGTCACTTAATTCAACACCCGCCAGGCATGTTCCCTAACACGTGCGGTCCAAGCCAAGAGCCCCGAGCTACATATGACTACTGGGCACTGCAAAGATAGATGGTCACGGAATCAGGTTCTAGCTCCTGTAGCTGAGGAGCTAGGTGTTTAAAAGTTCGTCTGACTTTAATTTAAGCATGTCTGGCCTGTAGTTATTGTGTCCCATTGCTGACTTCCAGTGGGCTGGATCAAAGCAGACTGGCTTGAAACCCAGGCCCGGGAGTGTGGCCAATCTGGGATGGCATCCCAGACTATCTTAGTTGTGGGGCCCTGGCAAGTAGCCTAGCCTCTGTGAGTTTCCGTTTCCTCAACTGTATGGAGAGGACCATAGGGATGCCACCACCCAGAGGGCTTCTGGGTAAAAGAGGATGCTACGTGTGTAATGATCAGCACAACACTCACGTCTGGAAAGAGAGTTAGAGCCTCTTAAAGCATACATACAGGACCAATGAAATGGCTCAGCGGGTGAAGGTGCTTGTGCCAATCCCAATGATCTGAGTTCAATCCCCAGGGCCCACGTGGTGGCAGAACGGGCCAGTTCTCAAGCTGTCCTCTGATCCCCACCCGCATACTGTGGTGCACCCGCCCCAACACACACACCAAAAAAAAGTAAGAACAAATTTTAAAACATGTCTACCCACTATTTCAGATGTTACCTCAAGGTAGCAATGTCAGAGGGAGACAATGAGCTTATTAAAAGATGCTCTGTCCTCTTTAGAGAGAAACGGACAGACAATCAGGATCCTGGAGCTCTTGAGAAAAGAACAGTGGCATGGTGGCCAAAGTGTGATATGTTTAAATCCCAGCTATGTTAGTGATTAGCTGTGTGATGCTGGCGAAGTTACCGAGCCTCTCTGTGCCTTGGATTTCCCTCGGTAAAATGCAGACACCGTGTCCCTTGTAATGGGGATTAGTTGAGTTAACATGGATCAAATGCTTAGATCTGAGTGCCTGGCACATTTTAAGCACGCAAGCAGCGACAGTTGTCTCTGCTGTAGCAATTGTTGCTAACATTGTTCTTTTCACCCTGGCTGGGTCCCTAACTTGTGAGTGACCATAAGGAAGTTATTTGTTCTCTACAGGACTCTTCCCACGACTGATGATGCAAGGGACCTGGGACAGATAAGGTAAAGGTACCTACAGTGTTTTCACCTTTTCTGTAGGCTGCTCATCCTGCTCCCCACAGCTCCCGGGCCCCACTCACCAATGATGATGCCGCATGTGAGCAGGGCGTAGAAGGAAGTGGTCTGTTTGAGCAGCAGGTAGGACAGAAGCACGTTGAACACGGTGGTGAGCGAGCGCCCCACGTTGTAGAAGGCCACCCCCACGTACTTGAGGCAGAGGTTATTGAAGCTTATCATGCCGATGAAGACCACCGACAGTGGCAGCACACTGCGGGCGACCTTGAGGTCCAGGTGCAGAGCAGGGAAGTCAACGGTGCCAGGGCAGCAGGTGGCCAGGGTGCTGAGGCCTTTGCACAGCAGCGAGGTCACCAGGCACTGGTAGAAGGTGACGAAGATTGGGGTGTCCAGCTGCAGGGAGGGGCTGTCCAGCAGGTACTTGTTGAGGAATACCATGGAGATGGAGGTGACCCAGTAGAGGGAGACCACCAGTGCGATCTGCAGCGCCCGCAGCAGAAACGGCTTGTTCCTGCTGTCTGCATCGGCCTCCTCCGAGGCAACGGAGGCTCCAGTCAGCGCCATGCGCAGGATCCTGGACCGCTTCAGAGGGGCCCTGTTCATGGTGGCAGAAGAGCTGGGTCACCCCACGGCCAGAAGCATTCCCTGGGCTACAGGGTTCCAAGCTGCTGGGGTCTGTGGGTGCAGGCTTCAGTTATCACATGGGGTGACCTAACGGTCCCCTCCTCCGTCTTGGATGAAGTTCTGCTTCCGGATTTGCCCAGATGCACCTCTCCACATCGCGCCCCCTCCCAGTGGAGGGGGTCATGAGACACAAGACCCAGGGAAAGGAGAAGGACGGGGCCTAGCTAAGGGTGTGGGCCTTGACAACCACGGCCGGCTGGACGACAGCGGGCTGGTGCCTAACAGGGACGAGTCGCGGGGAGAAAGGAAGGGAGAGGGGCAGAAGGGCGGGGTGGAGGAGGAAAGAACAGGGCGCGGACCTCGTGGGAAACGGAGCACCGAGAGGGAGGCGTGGGCTACGTGGAGGGCGGGCTGCAGGAGCGCCCGGAAGCGCTCGCCCCGAGCCTAAGGGAGGGCGGGCTGCAGGGAGGTCACGGAGGCTCCGGGGGGTGGCCCGAGGAACACTGACAGAGGGAGGATGGCAGGCCCAAGGCCTCGCCGAGGCTGCGAGCTGAGTGCGAGTTCCGGCTCAGCTAGGCAGGTCGCGGGCCGCGTCCCGGCGGGGCGGGCCCAGCGCGCGTTTCCTGACACGCCTCCCGGGTGCCTTAAAGGGCCCGCTCTCCGGGCCTTTCGCCCTTCCCGTGGCCGCCAGGACACCCTCGGCAGCCCGGAGCGCGCCAGCACGTCTGCACCTGTGGCCATGGTCCTGCCCGCTTCTTCTGGGAACCTCCGGAGGCCAGGGCAGGTTTTGCAGGTGCTGGAGCCTCTCCCATTTCCTGGAAGGGCTCTGTCATTCTCCCCGCCACCCGCACTGTCTGTTCCCCTGGCCTCTTCAAACCGACCAGACTTGGTCAGGTTGCATCTACACCATCTTCCCAGAAAAGAGAATACCATCCCTCCGCTTCTGGAGACCCCCACAACAGCCCTTTGCTCCCCTCCCCGTCCCCCGGAGCCCAGGCCATTCGGGAAGACCTTGTTGCAGTCCTCTCCTTTCTCCCTACCCTCATTTTCACCCCTTCCGAACCTAGTCAGGAGGACCGAGGTCCCAGAGACCCCAGCAGCACTGCCAGAGGCCGGAAGCCACATCACCTCCGCCTGATACAGTCATTTCTGGACTCCCAGACCAGAGCCTCTCGATGCAGCAACCGGTACCCGGGATCCCTTCTCCTTCCAGAACGTACCGTCTGTCCGTCCGCCGGACCTGGCTCCGGTGCCCCTAGCGCGCGCTCCTGACTGGTGCAGGGACCTGGCGCTCACCCCTGCGGTGCCCTCGGGTGTACCTGGCAGCACTGCCCTGGGCTGCACCTGCGATGCTGCCCAAGCCGCGCCCCCAGTACAACTTCCTGCTTGCTGTCCCCAGCGCGCGCGCCACGTCGGGCTCCTCCGGGGCCAGGTGGGGCGGTGACCCCGGGAGCCCGGCCAGAAGGCCCCTTTCCTCTATCTAAGAACAACCCTGTCTCCCACTTTCCGCCCCAACCCTCCTGGGATTCCTCCGTCCCGTTACCGTCGCTGGCGCGTCCCTTGACAAAGCTGCATTCCTGGCTCTGCGGGTCCAAGCTGATGCTTCCAGAAGGGCGTGGGTGGGGGAATCGCTGAATGCTGCCACTACCACCGGAGGAGGGTACCCCTCCCGGTCCCGCGTACCTGGCTTGAGTGGGCCACCAGCTCCCGAGCTGGGAGGACTGACTTGTCTGTGCTTTCTTCCTAGCACCAATGTTGGGTGGGCAAGTTTGTCCCAAGCCAAGCTGGCTTCCTTGTGGAACTAGCTAAAGCAGTGGGTTCCAGTCTTACTGCTTGTGTGGTTTGACCATAAAGATGTGGTGTTTAAAATATTTCAAATACTGTGATAAAGGGCCTGTAATCCCAGCTGAGGCAGGAAGATCAACAGTTCAAGGCCTGTCTGGGCTACAGAGAAAATTAAAGGGCAGCCTGGGCCACTTAGTGAGACCTTGTCTCAAAATAAAAAGTGGGTGTGGGTACACACAGAGGGACACTGATAAAAGGTTGTGGCTGTAGTTCAGTGTTAGAGTGCTTGCCTGGCATACACAAGGTCCTGGGTTCAATTCCCAGTACAGCGAGGGAAAGGGGTGGGGGATCAGTACTGCTTGTCAAAATATAAACTTGAAACACATTTAGCTATAGATGTGCTGGTCTTTATGGACAGCTCCTCTCTACGCTAGCGTAGAGTGGTACAGGTGGCCTCTGTCCAGCCTGAAGAGACAAGTGCTACTTTAGGAAGAGGGAGGTTCCTGCAGTGTCTGAGAAGAAACTGTACGTGGGAGCAGAGGGGCAGCCCTGTGTGCCTCACCAGGGGCTGCATGTGACTTATTGTAACTAAGTAAGGGTATTAGGGGAAGTATTTGTGAGAACACTATCGGGTCCACAGAATTCTGCCCTTCAGGGGAGGCTTTTTTGTTTTGTTTTGTTTTTGTTTCAGGGGAGGCTCTTTAAGGTACAATTGTCAGGCCTGCAGCTGGGGAAGGGAACACTCACAGAAAACATTGCTCAGGACTCTTATGCTCAGGTCACAGGAAGTTGGACTACAGGCATAATTTGTTCATCTTACCAATCTCATTGGTAGCATTTTCCAGAAAGGAGCTTGTTACAGGTGGCCTAGATAATTATGTTGAATTTTTGAGTGTCAGCCAGAGAGAAATCAAACCAGCAGACTTGGGGGTGGTGGTGGAGCTCTTTCCCTGCTCATGAGTGTCCCCTCACTGGCCTTTCTTGGGAGCTTACACGCAGTCACCAGCACAACTGCAGGGGATTGAACAATTGGAAGAAATTGGCTATCAACCATTTGCCTTTTTTTTGAGAGGACTATTCTGAGTCAGGCAAGCTGGCGTTGGTCTTCAAGAAAAACTGGTCTGTTGTGAGATTATGTTTGTTTGCTTCCTTGAAGCTGTTGTTTGATTATGCGGTATTCCGTGCAATTGGCCCTGTAATTAAACTCCAACTGGTTCATCCTTGGTGAGTGCAAAGTCAATGAACTCAACCAGGAAATAGAAGTGTGAAGTTGCCGGTGTAGGTGGGCCATGGCTGTAGTTTCAGTCTTAGGGAGGTTTAGGCAGGAGAATGGTCAGTTTGAAGCCAGCCTGGGCTACATAGTGAGTCTCAGGCCAGCCTGCGCTACATAGTGAGAAGTTGTCTCAAAAATGGAAAGCAACAGGACTAGAAAGGTGGCTGGGTGGGTAAGGGTGCTTCCTCTGCAAGCATGAAGGTGTGAGTCCGGGTTCTCAGTCCGCACATAAGACACTGAGCACTGTGCATGTCTTTAATCATAGCTTGGTAGGAGGGACACATAACAGTGGACCATCGACCTGTCATGTATCAGTCCATGTGTCTCGGGATCATTGGGGTGAACTCTCTGTCCCCAAAGCTTCAGGGCAGCATGGTCCCCACTGCTCGATGCAGCTCCCAACTCAAGGCTTAGTCTGTGCATTGCCTTGAATGAACCAGCTTTAAAGGGGCATAAGATATGGGGGTTTACTGTAAGAGTTATAATGGGACCGGGAGAAGTCTGCCTTTTGCTGGTAGTTGTGTCGGATATCACTACTGTTCAATCCAGGGGGGTTTGCAAGTTTTTCTGTAAAGGATCAGAGAGCAAACATTTTAAACTCTGGATACCAGATAGTCTCTTAACATGACTCAACACTGAGTATTGAGTAAACATTCAGTTTTAGTATTAGTAAACACTCAACAATTTTAGTATTGTAAACAAATGGGCACAACTGCATTTCAATAAAACTTTATTTATAAAAGCAAATAGTGAGCCAGCTTTGACTCACAGGCTACAGTTTTCTTCCTGTATTATTTTATTTCTCTTCCTTACTAATATTACCCATATTCTGTAAGCCAGTGTGCCCACCTAAACTACTTACTTCTGGATTTTTTTTTTTTGCAGCTAGAGGTGACCATGTGCTATACTTTTGGATGATAAGTAGTACTGTTGTCTTTGTTGCTTCCATTTCCTTTTTCTGCCTACAATGCAGAACTGAGGTCTGGATGGGAAGGAGCTCTCTTGTGACCTCGAATTGAAGGACGATGGATCAGAGCATGGGGGAAATCATTGGCGCTCCGCTTTTCCCTAAACCCTCCTTTGCTCTGAGCTGCCTTCAGCTTATTGTAGGAGATAAATAACTCTCAGTTAAAGCCACTGTGGGGCTGTTAGTCTTTGCTTTTTTCTAGCCAAACTGAGGCCTTATGGAAACAGTTCTCCTGGGTAGTTCTGGGCTGCTAACCACTTGTGTTGAAGGCCCCAGGAAAGGCTTGGGATTGGTTAGTCGCTGGGCCTGGGGCTACAATGCAGGCTGTTTAGTTACCAAAGAGTGAACCAAATCCTCAGAGCTGCAAGTAGGTGCAGGACTCCAGAGGTGGGGCTGACGTTCAAGGTCAGAGGCAGGGGAGCTGGGGTGAAGAGGGCCTGTCAGCAGAAGGAGTACCAGCTTGAACAGCACAGCTTTCAGGGAAGCCTTGGAAAGATGCAGGGATGAGCAGAGAGCCAGCTCTTCTTTTAGTCAGATTTCTAAGGCATCATCCTTATTTCCTGAGTTGACTTCCGTTAAGCACTTGACTCTGGATGGCGCAGACCTTCTTGGATGTTCTTCGGGCTGGTCCTCACAGAACCCTGTGAGGTGCAGTCATTAAAATCGAAGCCCAGACTTGCAAGTCTAGCTCAAGAGGCCCTTGAGGAGGAGGTCAAGAGATCTGGATTTTAACCCTGCCCCTTTTGCCTCCTGAGCTGAATGAAGTCAGCTCACTCTGTTTTCTGCTTAGTGTCTTAGGTACCTGGATGTTGTGGTTTGGATGTCCTTTGTCCCCTGAAGTCTGTGCATTGGAGATTTGTTCCCTAGTATGAAAATATGGGGCTGGGTGGTGGTGGTGGCGGCGGCGGGGGCGGCGGCGGCGGCGGCGGTGGCGCACGCCTTTAATCCCAGCCCTCAGGAGGCAGAGGCAGGAGGATCGCTGTGAGTTTGAGGACAGCCTGGTCTATAGAGCGAGTTCCAGGACAGTTACACAGAAAAACCCTGTCTCAAAAAAAAAAAGAAGGAAGGAAGGAAGGAAGAAAGGAAGAAAGGAAGAACGGAAGGAAGGAAGAAAGAAAGAAAGAAAGAAAGAAAGAAAGAAAGAAAGAAAGAAAGAAAGAAAGAAAGAAAGAAAGAAAGAAAGAAAAAAAAAAGAAAAAAGAAAGGAAGGAAGAAAGAAAGAGCCGGGCTGTGGGGGCCCACGCCTTTAATCCCAGCACTCAGGAGGCAGAGGCCGGCGGATCTCTGTGAGTTTGAGGCCAGCCTGGGCTACAGAGTGAGTTCCAGGAAAGGCGCAAAGCTACACAGAGAAACCCTGTCTCAAAAAACAAAAAACAAAACAAAAACAAAAACAAAAAAAAAAAGGAAGAAAGAAAGAAGAAAAGAAAATATGGGAAATGTGGGGCCTTGGAGAAGTGGAGACTG